AGTGTACTGGTTTTGTTTCCTTTATCTTGAGTATATTTTCTTTGTTCTTAATATTTATCTTAAAAGTACCTCATTCTGAACTTCAGTTTTTTCTGACATTATCTCTACAGTTCTGAGCTATATATATATCACTGGTGATCATACCTCTTTCCACCTCCTATTTGCACCTTTAGTTGTTCAAACTGCTACAGTATTTTTGCAATCAATTTATTCTTTTTTTTTCCTTGTTGGATTTTTCTGAGATTGTTATTTTAAGAGTTCGGTTTTCAGGAATTCTTTATTGATTTTGAGTTCCTTTTTTCTTTAGCTTTCCTTGCATGAAATCTTGCTCTTGTTGTTTTCACTTTATTAAAATCTGTTTTCTTAAAGACAAACTCCACGCTTGATTATGCTTTTTCTTACATTCAAGAAGTCAAGATTAAATGGTCACTTCCACTTTGTCAACTAAGTCTTCCACATTAGTTAGTGTCTATCAATGACAACTGATCATGTATATTAGCATCAGGATAAATAATCAGAGGAATTGAGGGCAAACAATGGTGAAAGAAGATTCTGATGACTCCTGATGTAACTGCAAGGACATCACATATTGAAAAACATAGATACTGTCAAGGCTATGGTTTTCCCAATTGTAAATGATAACTGTGGAAGTTGGGTCATCAGGAACTCTTAATGAGGAAAATTTGATGCCTTTGAATTTATGATTCTAGAGAAAATTGTTAAGAATACCTTATGGATGGACATTTTTGACAAACCGGCAGGTTACAGAGTCAGAGGCAACCAAACAACAAAAGACAAGTGGAAGCAGATAACCCAAAGGAGCAAGAGGATCAGGGAACAGTTTGTGATGAGGAAGTTCAACAATATGAAACAAAATCTCATTGTGTAAGCCAGTGCAGAGCCTCCTGAGCAAGCCTCACACGTCCAGCTCCACAGAGTAGGATAGAAGTCAAACTCAGAAGATGCCAAAGAATCACTTTGGGGGTGGGGAGCATGTTGTGGTAGCAGACCATTTTCTGTTAAGAGGAATGCATTGTGCAGACTTTATGTGACATCAGAGAAGAAGTAATATCTTCCAGATATCTGTATCCAAGATGTAATGGACAAGCTGATGAGACTCTTAAAATCAATCAAGAACTATCCATTTATTCATATGAAACAACAACACTGCCAAGAGACTTTCAATTGATCTCTCAACACTATGAGATCCTACATAGGAATATAAAATAATCAGGGATTGCAATTATCATTTTTATCAATATAAACAACAGCATTTGTATTAGTTATTAAGTAAAGGATTATGGTATTAAAAAAGAAAAAATGTTGGGTTATGTTGATATTTAGTGAAATCCATTTTTCCTTCCATCTGTACAATACTGTTTCCTATGCCATAGAATCCCAAACCTTATTAAAACTGTGCTTAATAGTTAATAAGGTATTTCTTTTTCCTGAAAATAGTACACCCCTTTTCGTCCAAATCTATCTCACATGGTTGTGACAAAACATTCTATACTTGTTTTATCCTTACAAAGCACTTTGTTTCAAAACATTTCAGACTTGACAAAACTTTATTTTACATACTTGAGATGATTTTTGAAGAAAAGGCTTCCAATAACTCTTTCATTCAAATAATTGTTATAAAAACAATGCTGGCATATGGATCTGAGGAGTACCCCTGTGTCAACTAAGCTTCTTAGCAGGTTGGTTGGAATGATTTGTGGCTTCTGTTTTGCAGATTGATTTAGGAAAGTTGTAGCAGAATTTTCCTTGAAAAACAATCTAATATGCCAGAGACAGTAAAGAAACTGAGGTTGAAAAAAGGTTTGATATTCAGCAAGATAACAATTTGAAATATTCAAATCCAATAATTAAGTATTTAGAACTAAAGGGTTTGGAATTACCTTCAGCATCCAGTCGTTTATGAGAAAAAAAATCTCAACATGCATTACAATGCAAGAAGACCTAAGAATATTTTAGAAATACTACTGGTATAGCAGAATTATACAGAATTTTATAAGGAAGAGTAGGGGGAAAATCCCAAAAGCAAGTACAGGAAGTACAGGAAGATTTTTAAGAAACTAAGAAAGCACTAGGAATACATTTATAAATAAGACAGCAGGAAAATATGTAAAAACACTGAAAGAGATGTTATAAAATCTGACTAAAATAAAGTTCAAACTTCTGTACCTGCTTCTATTTTGCTAAGGAATTAATTGAAACAAACAATTTGGCTAGAGGTGCCTTGATTTTCGCATACAACTGTACATCTCCACCCTAAACCAATCTGATGATATAGTAGAAATGCTGACCTGGTTTAAGGAATTTGATGCGGAAAATAGTTTGAAATTTAATGTGAACAAGAATTTACTTATTAAATTTGTATAAACTACTCTCTGTCATAAACCATCTGGCTCTTACTTTGTTCCAATGGCAATTCTGAAAGGGTAGTAGTCACATGAAGGAACAGATATGAGACTTCAAATGACCCCAAAACACATGGCATGAAATTTAATTCAAAGTGGAAAACATTCCTGTACTTCCCTATATTTAATCTCACTCAAAAATTTATCTTTGCTTAAAGTATAATGGTGAAAGTCTGAAGTACTGTTGCTTTAAGAGCCAGTACTTTCCAATGGAAGGGAATTCTAACAGAAAAGATTAAGCAATCTCTGAATACCTTTTAAAACAGTCTACCCAAATACTTCAAATTAAGTAGGAATATTTGTAAGATGTTCTCTGCTTGGGTTAAACTGGGTGGATAGAGTCTATCTTGGAAAGAGAATATCAGAAATATCCAGTCCCTGATGGACTTAATTTAATCTGAATCTTGAATTGTACTAGAAAATACACAAGCATTGTACCTCCTTCAGCAAGGGTGTAGCATGATAGTAACAATATTACTCTATAACAGGCTGCTGCATTTTGTATCAGTTAATGTTTCCAGATGATCACCAAATGCAATAATTTAGTCTTATAAGTAACCTCCTTCATAGTCCATATTACCAGAAGTAATTGACCCTACCCTACCCTACCCTGATCAGGCTACATTACGAATCTTGTGTCCAATTCTGACCACTACAATCTAAAATGGACATCATTCAAATGAGTTCAAAAGTGACTACTAAAATTATGAAGAAAATCCTATAATGTCAGTTAAAGGAACTAGGTATGTTTAGCAGGAAAAAAGACTTAGAAGAAGAAATAAGATAACAGCCTTCAGATATCTAAAGAGTTGTTATACAAAAAAGGCAATGTCTTGTTATCTACTATCTGCCAGGACCAGGAGCACAACCTATGATTTGAAATAACATTGAAAGATGGATTCAAGTTAGATGTTAGCATTATTTCTCTCTTATGGTAAGAGCTACCAATAAACGCAATAGCTTGCCTTATAAACTGGTATGTTCACTTTCATTGGGGGACTTTAAACAGAGATTGAATAGCTAGTTCTATGAAATGCTTTAGTAAATCTTAATCTGAATGAGGAATAAGACTAGATGATTATTGAGGTTCCTTTTAATTCTATTACTGAACAAGGGTTGGAATAAATACATTAAAAGCAAAAGTTAGCTAATCCTGAAATATTGGAAACTTTGGGATTGGTTGAATTAAAAAAACAAGCTGTTGTCTTGTTGCTGTTTAGCGCAGGGCTGCCAAACTCCCGGCCCATGGGTCGGATGCGTCATGTGCTGGCCACGCCCACACTCAGTTTAGTGAAGGGGAAAAAAATCCCGATACGTCATGTGATAGTGTGAGTTTGACACCCCTGTTTAGCTGAATGCAATATTATTAGGAAAAAAATTATACTTAGTTGTGCTGAATTGGAAGTAATAAATTAAGCATCCCTTACTGGCCTGATTATATGCTCTTAACTGCATAATGCAGTAAAAGATGAAACCATTTAACAAACAACTGATCTAACGCAAAGTTGCAGCATTCTTTTCTTTCACTGTTCTTTGTGATTGATAAAACATGACACAAATATTCCTTCAGTGCTGGGATGTCTGTTTTTTAGAAGAAAATAGCTGATCAGTTAAAGCAATACTTTATAGGGAATTATAAAGCTTCTGAGAACTGTCATGTACAAAAGATAAAATACTTGAATTAGAATTTCTGTAAATACTTATGTTTACTAAACTTACTAACTTCCAAAAATTACAAACATTATAAAAGTTACGATATTGGATACAGATGTAGGCACACGTAGACAGCTTGACAGGTTTTTCCCTCATTCTTTTCAATGGCAGCCTGCTGGTCCCCTGAAAATAATGTATACAGTATTGTGGAAGCTTCAATAAGGTGAGCTCTACAGTGGGGAAAGGAGATATATCTGCCAATTACATTTTAAAGCAACTCTTAGATAAAATATGTAACTCATTTTGCAAAACTCTCCTTTCCTTTTTCCATGCCACTTTTCTCAGGAGCATTTACTGGTTCTTTGTAGGGCATTTCTAAGGATCTAAAAAAATTTTGGGGGGAGAATTGAGCAGAGAATCCTGTTCCTTTCAGTTAGGTAGTATGTACCTGTATCTAAAATAAGCCTACTGTAAGCAGTAGAACTTTAATTAGTCATAACTAACTTAGATACCAAAGATTCTGAATGGTCTACTTTATAAATTATAAGAGCTAAGGCTGTCACTGTAAACAAACTTCCCAGGGAATAAACGCCAATTAATGTAATCCTGTTTACTTCTGAGTAGACATTGAACAGTACTGTTAGACAAATGCTACAAGTTCCAAAAATCTCTATAGTTAAGAATACCTCCTGCTCTTCTAATTAGAACCCTACTATATCTAGATTAGAATTTTTTATTTTAATATTGGAAAAGTTAAAGATAATTCAGTTCTCCTACTTTTTTCTGTTTAACAAATAAAATAAATTTATATTATTTCATATACATTTTCAAACAATTAATAAAATAAAAACAATTAATGTTTTGTCAGAGTATTTTATTTCAAGATGCAATAGAAAAACTACGGACAAGATGTCCTATTCTTACCATGACCTGAGGCAAAAACTGAAACAGGACCGGTCTGTACTAGGTAAGAGCTGGCAGTATAGTCCTCATCAGTGTCAGAGTCCTGAACTGGCTGGATAGCACTAGTACTTAGCAACCATCTCTGGTTGTCATGGAGATTTGGAGATGGAGGAGGGGAATGTAAATGTTCAATAACGGATTGACTAGATGAAGAAGATGGCATGGGAGGACCTGAGGAAAAAAATATTAAAAAAAAAATAGGATAACATACGGAATAGTTCAGAAATTGCTTACCTTCGTGTAATTATTTTTTAAAATATTTTGATAAATTATAGCTAAACAAATTTATGATAGCATATGATGGAAACGTTTACAGTTTTCTGAAATTCATATGGAAGGGATTATCTTTATTAAATGTTTCATTCCCTAAATAATTAAATGCAGAAATCAGTTGTATCTGTTGCATTTTTTAAAAAAGTTTGTTACATTTGTTGCATTTCATGTTTCCATCATATTTTCATCCAGTTTAAAAATACTAATTTGGGTATGAATCTTGAGGCTTGACAGTCTTGTTCTAGATTCATAGGTAAAATAATTTTACAACTAATGTTCATTGACTTGCCAAGAAATGGCAGAATGATTATAGCAGGGTTCTCAAGTTTCCACCTATCAATTGCACGCGAATAATGTTTTGCACAACACTTTCTAGGGGTTCAGGATGCTGCCCATCAAGTGCTGCAGACTTGTAAGCTGAAGATCTTGAAGAAAAAAGGACTGCCAGGTCACCTGACCTGGTGGATTTCCTAGCAACAGTGGTCCTAGTTGGCTGGGCCACAGTTAGTATCTTGAATCTTCTCTCTCTGAAAGTATTATCCTCCAGGAATCTCTGTTCACTGATGTACTCTGTGAAGTGGTATTGGGGTCTCCAGATTGTGGCAGAGGGGAGACAAATCTTAGGTATGGATGACAAATTGAGGAGCTAGAACTGCCAGAGGGACAGAAGGATGAGACGGTGGATCAGGTGTGACTACTTTAAGAGTTTGTTTGCTGAACAAGAAACAAGATCTTTCTGCCAGGCAAGGGAAGAAAAAAATGAAGAAAACTAGAAAAGTACTTCTTGGGATGGATTTTCTAAAATGATATTAAGCTATGATCTTGAAAAAAAATACTACATATCAACCCAGAAAAAATCTCTTTTCCTTAAATTAAAGCCATTATTCCATATTCTGTGCTGCAGAATGACAAAAAGTATACTCTGAGCATCTGTAACCCCCCCCCCACTTTTCAGCTATCTGAAGAGTATAATCCCATCAGTTTTCCCAAGGCTAAACATACCCAATTCTTTCAATTTCTTTCAACTATTTCCTAATCAGCCTCCCTGCCCTCCTCTGAACAGCTTATTTGAATTATTTTTTGAAGCATGCTGGCCAGGACTATACCCATCCTATAGGTGTGGTTTGTTCAGTGCAAAACAACATCAAACAATTAATACTTCATGAGTTTAGAAATTTTATATCTGGGTATAGCCTTAGAATCAATTTATGAATTTTTACCACTATTATACCAAATCAGTTAACTTTTATACCTTGCATTTTATTTCTCTTTCTTAAATGATGAATTTTGTCTCTATTAAATTTCATTCCATTTTTTCAATGTATTTTTCTAATATATCACTACTGTTGGTATAGTTTCTGTCTTCAAGATATTCTAACCAATTGTTTGCCATTAGCAGACTTGGTAAATATTTCCTTTCCTTATCAAATCAATAGTAAAAATATGACTGTACAAGGCCTAGAACTGAACCTTGTGGCATCCAATGCAATATCAAAGATACAGCACATGGTGTTAGCTAAGTTAATTATCACAATCACCTAGCATTTTAGAATATTAATTTCTTTTTTATATTTGTTGAGACTGCCTGATGAATCTTTTCTGAAATTATTTATATTGTTTTGGAGTCAATATTCAGGCTGAGTTATAGAACTGAGACAGTCGGTCACACTTATGGATTAAACTGGGAAGGATCAAAGATAGGATATTGCAACTATCCTGGCTTTCTTAGACTTCTCTGTGGTTTTCAATACCACAAACCACAATATTTCTTCGCTAGCTATGGGGGTTGGATGGGAGGGGGGGCATTGTTTTGTAATGGTTCTCCTTCTTCCTCTGGGACAGATTCAGCTGTTACTAGGGGGTGAGGGGGAGTTGAGTCCTGTACACCTGTTGTCTGATGCCTAATGTTTGGATCTTTTACCCTTCCTCCTTAACATCTGCTGAGAGAGGCCATCTGATGACCCAGGATGCAGTATGATCACTATGCTAATGATAGCCAACTATATCTCTTTGATATTGCCAATCAAGGGACACTGTCTCAAGTATTGACCAAATGCCCGAGGCTGTAAAGGCTTGGATGTAGAAAAAAATAGTTTCGACTCAATCCTAGCAAAATGTAGTTGCTCTGGATCTCTGGTCTTCCTAGTTCTAGAGTTCCAGAGAGCTGATTAGCAATTTGGAGGCCTTCTTGGATTCACAACTCCTGCTTGAGGAACAGGTGGCAGTTAAAGCTAGGGAAACCTTTGGTGCAGATTCATCTGCTGTATCAATTGTACCCATTCCTGGATTGGAAGAACTGGGTCATAGTCACTCATAGTTTCTGGCTGAATTACTCCACTGTGTCTACATGTGGCTGCTCTTGAAGACCATGCAGAAATTATAACTGGGGCAGAATACTGAGTTGCATGTAGTTTTAGGTGCTTCACAGTTTGTCCATGTTATACTGCTGATGCATAAGATGCACTGATTTCCAGTTTCTTTCCAGGTCAATGTCACAAGTCCAGGTTATTTACAGGATTGCTTCTCATGGACAGTATCTTCTCATTCCACCAGATCAGATAAATTGGGCACACTCCAGGTCCCTTTCTTAATTTTGCTATTAATCAGAACCTAGCATAAAACCTTATCACTAGTGGTTTGTGCTCTTTAGAGCACCATGCCCTTTCAGACCCCTACTCTTTTAGCTTTTGGAAAAGCTTTGAAGACACACTAAGATACATTACATACATACAACATATTTAAGTGTGCTTCCTACACACATTTATGGAAAGAGCAAGTCTTCAATATTGTTTTTGTTTAAAATTGGCAATCCTTGATTGATAAGGTAAGGAGAAACTGAGCACTGCATAGAACTTTTTTTGTGTTTGTATGCACACAAGACACATTCCCACACACATACCCTTCTTCCACCTACTCTTACTTTTGGAGGGAAAATCATTTTAAATTCAAGCTTATCTTCCTTTCAGGTACTGTAAATATGATACTCTTCTACCATGAAATTGCCAGGTTGCTGGCATTCTTTCTTTTATAACTTTGTAATGAGTGGCTTTTAATTATAAATCCATTTTATATTATAGACCTCCTGTATGCTATCCAACCCATGTAACGTGGCATTGGCATTTATCTCTCTGCTGGATACAAGAGCCTTCTGTAGTCAACCTGTGGTGACAGTTATATGTTAATTAAAAGCCTACATGCAAATAGCATTACTGAAAAGTGTTGTGGCAGATCGCACACAAAGCACTATTATTTGTAACTGCACAGACCTTGTTATCAACTGCTTTAATACTGAGCAAACATTGTATTTAGCGTGAATCTCTCCCTCTGGGAAATATGCTAACAAACACTTATTACCTAAGTTAGGATAGTTAGAGATCATTCAATAGTTATTACACAGTTATTCCAATGGAGACTTCTTCAGACAAATGTTAATTATAGGATACATACTCTGTTATTTTTTTAGCATAATGGTTAATGACCAATTAAACCTAGTCAAAAATATACTTAAAAGATTTCAGGTACCCCTGAATTCCAATGAATTTTAAATTATATCTTATGTTTGTAGCTGTATCTAAAATACAGATAGCTGTATTTTATATTTAAGATACTGGGAAAATTGCATGTTTTCCAATGAGTGTGCAAAGCTATCAATCTTGTGAAAAGAGATAATATGGTCAATATTTGAACTCATGGCAATAGTTTTGCTTCCAAAGAACTCTGTTCCAAAACCCATACCAGAAAATAAGATACCTTTGCGGCAACTGCATCCTTAGTTCATCCTGAGCATGTATACTGAGTTTCTGATTCTTTTATATTCCATTACCAATCCCATGAAAACATTCTACCTTTCTTTTGCAGTCAGTTCAGTTTCCTTTGATCATTCTTCCCAAACTCAGATTGTGATTGCGATAGATACTACCAGACCAGTGGTGGAATTCAATTTTTTTTATTACCGGTTCTGTGGGCGTGACTAGATGGGCATGTCAGGGGAAGGATACTGTAAAATCTCCATTCCTTCACCACTCCAGGGGAAGGTTACTGCAAAATCCCCATTTCCTCCCAATCAGCTGAGACTCGAGAGGCAGAGAATAGATTGGGGCGGGGCCAGTCAGAGGTGGTATTTACGGGTTCTCCAAACTACTCAAAATTTCAGCTACCGGTTCTCCAGAACTGGTCAGAATCAGCTGAATACCACCTTTGTACCAGACCCCATGTATTGAATCTTGTTATTTATTTTTAGTTTTAAATCTTTTCATTTTTTATGTATTTGTGGTTTTTTATTTGGTTTGAAATATGTCTAGAAAAAGAACAAGTTTCTATAGTTCCCTAAGTTACATTAATCAAATACATTCCCTTCAATTGTGCAAAGTGTAAACTTAAATTTCTTAATACTTCACTAAATATTTACTGTATTCTTACAGAAAAGGGTAAAAGAAATCAAAAAAGCTAAAGCAATTGTTGACTGAAGTTAACTAAAATAGCCAACTGGAACTTCAGAATTATTTTCTTCATAAATGTTTAAGCCAATTATTTGATCAAATTAGGTTAATTAAATTTCATTTGATTTAATATTTAGTTAGACTAACTTGACATCCCAATGCTACTTATAAAAAAGCATAACAAATTGGATAAAAAAAGGATAACAAATTCCATTTGTAAGAGAAAGTCTGCACAATTAGACAGAATGGAATAGGAATCTCAAGTTAAACATGAGGGTTCTGAATTTTATTTAATATTTCATGGTGCATGGCATGGGCCAGTAAAAAAAACCTCCATAATGTCTTTGTTGATGTTAAGTTGTCTTTAGGCAATTAAGTAGAACCAGACAACCTGTGCCCTGTCCGGAGCTATTTCCTTACCTAAACAGAATGATTGTGGGTGGGCAAAGATGCAATGGG